AGAATCTTTCCTTTTCCTTTTATTTTACTCACAACACTCATACCAGAAGTGTGTAATACCAGGACAACTACTAAACAAAGGAAAATAAAAATCACAGCAAGATGGAGAACTACTAAATTATACCTTTCCAGCCATTCCTCAAGCAAAGAATTAGCAAAAAACTCTTCAGCTCTGTGATACCCTAAATTTTCCAATTCTAGGAATTAGTGCCAAAACAAGCCAATAATGTAGACTTCTGGTTAAAGTATCTTCCCTGCCAAAACTGATCAGTGTATCTCCTCATCTGTCAACAGCAGCAGTATCTCAAGAACTGCTAGATGGCCGGGCTGGTGGTGCATGGCTGTAATCGCAGCACTTGGGAGGCTGAGGCAGGAGGATCGTTGGGAGTTTGAGACCAGCCTGGGCTACAAAGTGAGCTCAAGGCCAGCCTGAACTGCATAGCAGGACCCTATCTCAAAAAGACAACAAAATAAATAACAACTGCTAGACGGCAAGATTACACAATTCATAAGTGCACACACTTGTGCTCGCTTTGGCAGCACATGTAAGTATACACACTTGACAACGTGCAGAAAAGGACCAAATGATTTTTATTTTAATGTCTAGTTCTTTTAATCCTTCAATCCTGGAAACTGTAAACCACAATGACCATGATAAAAAATAATCAGGTTGCTAGGTGTGTACAAGCACGACAGAGAACATCTGTAGTTCCTGCTACTCCAGCAGGCTGAGGCAGGAAGAGCATAAGTTCCAAGACCAGCCTCCACAACTCTGCAAGACCCTGCCTCAAAATTTTTAAAAGGCCTGGGGAAATTGCTCAGTGGTTAGGCTGAGTTCAACAGAAAGGAGGGGAAGTAGGGAGGGCTTGCTCTTTTTATGAAATTTTTAAACTACAACCGTTGTGTATTAACCTTTAGTAGGTATTGACTACATATGTGAGCACCCACTATGCACCAAGTACTGGGGATACCAACGTATAATTCCTGTATGCAACGGTCTCAGAGTAGATGAGAAAACCATCACAAAATAAGCCACTCTAAGTACAACAAGTATTTATACTGAATGCAGAATGTGTCAATATTTTTAATAACCCCAAATACAATGGCAATTTTGGCCGATGAACTGCAATCAAGCAAAGCTTTTAGTTGGGCTTCTAAAATGCAGGAAAACTGGTCAGAACTTAATTTTCCTGACAGAGGATGTGCTATACAGAAGATACTAATAAACAAGTAATGCCCCTAAATGAACAATCTACTCCCTACTCCTGAGTGAAGAATCAGAGCAACATCTCTGTACTCTCTTATTCTGCAAAAGATGCACTCAAAATCATCTGAAGACGAAAGAATATGACCTAACAGCTTGTAATACTCAAATCTTGGAAACACCCCAACTGCCCATCAACTGGTGTGAATGGACAAAGATGTGGTTTTTTTTTTTAACACAACGGACTACTACTCTGCCATAAAGAAGGATAAACTTGGGCAGGAGATATAACTCAGCGCCTACCTGGCAAGCTCAAAATCATGAATTTCATGCCGGGTAGGTGACAAACAAAAAAAAAAAAGATAAGCTTGAGGCATTTCTAGGTAAACAGATGCATCTTGAAACCATACTTTTAAGTGAAATAAATTGGACACACGTGTGTGAATACTGAATTCTCTTGCGTAAGAAACCGAAAGTGTAAATAAGGATCAAAATGTTAAAAGGTTATCGTGAAATAGGAAGAAAATGTTCAAATGGTGAAGGGAACAAGGCAGGAATAAGAAAGGAAAAAGTTTAAAAAAAAAAAAAAAAACAGAAAGGAAGGAAAAAATGGAAACAAAGCTTTTGCAAACGGGAAAGGGGGAGGGGTTGAAGGGAGAGTAGAGGAATGAGGGGGGAAAAAATAATATCCTAGTTTCTGTTCTACATATATATATAGAGAGAGAGAGA